TTCAACTAAAGAAATAAATGTCTATTAAACTAAACCAACAAACAAAAATTCTTTATAAAGATTTATTGGTTAGTTAGTTGAAAATAGTTCTAAGATGAAGGTGAGAATTTAGTTAAACTTTTGGATAGTTATTTATTTCAGGTTTTACTCCGTGGTTAATTTTTGGCTGGCATTGACAAATTGGTTTACTTAACAAAATGTTCCTTATTTTTGTTAGGTCTTTTATTACATCTTTTAGTCAAATCTGATTAATTTGAACCCCTAATATAGAACTGTGACATTTGGGTTGTTTGACCAATAATACCCCTGAAACTACAAAAGAAAAATTTAGACTCATTTGACTTCAAAGCTTTCTAAGAAAATGCTTTAATACTTCTCTATTCATCTCCGAGAAACCTTGCATCACAACTTTCTGACAGCTTAACAAAAGAGAATGGAATCTATGTCAGTACCAAAACCCCAGCATGTAAAATGACAGCTGCAAAAGTTCTATTTTTCCGGAAATCCTTCCTAAACCAGTGTTGGGTGGAGTAAGAAGTACTGACTTTTCTCTCCTGTGTTTAGCTGTTAATTTAGAGGAGACTCCAGGTCTGGCTGACTCGACTCTAAGTTGGTTCCATGTGGCTCTTTGCGGACAGTGGTGGTGAGTTTGGTCCAGTGAAGCGGTCCCATTTCATCACCCAACATTTTGTAGCAGTGCTTTCTCTGTTGTCTCCGTGTTCTCAACTCTCTGAGATCTACTCCTTCTATTTAACTGGGAGTGTTCGGCAAAGGTCATCAAAGGCCTCTGGACTGACATTTTCAGTCATTCTCCTAGTTCACCTTTCTGCAGAATTTGACTCTGACTACCCTGTGCTTTGCATGTGTCTTCTGCATCCAAATTTCCACTTTTTTATGAGCACACTAGTCATCTTGGATTAGGGGCCACCCTAATGACCTAATTTTAATCTGATTATCTCCAAACACAATCACATTCTGAGGTACTGGGGTTTATAACTTCAACATATGAATTCTTAGGGGACACAATTCAACCCTTAACCCTTGGTCCCTAGTAATCCCTTTTCCTGTCGTATCTCATGTAGAAGTTTGGTAAATATGCTTGGTCTTTCCATAGACATGTCCTCATCTTTCTCGCATCTCTCGCTTCCCTCGGTTTCTATGGCATCACTTTCTCCTGCTTTGCTCCAATCTCTCTAGTCCTGCTTTGGTGTCTATTTTGGAGGACTCTTCATCCTCATCTACCTCCTTCAATGTCAAAGTTTTACAGATTCCATCCTTGGCTTCTTCTCACTCCACCATCCCCTCTCCCTAGTGATCTCACCCACAAGAAGAATTTCAACTCTCAGCTGTACTTACGCTGAAGACTCTTCATGCCTCCTCCAGCCCATACTTCTTTCTTGAGCTTTGCACCTGTGTATTCACTTATCTGCTTACACATCACCATCCAGCTGCTCCACATGATCTCAAATTCAGCACGTTAAAAATGGAACTCGACGCCTGTCCTCTCTTTCCCCCTGGCCCAAACCCAACCACTGTCATTACTCCCCATCTTGTGAAGGATGCCACTGTGTACTTAGATCTCTCGTTCCAAGATCCACATCTGTCAAAACCAAAATCCTGTCAACTCTAGTGCTTAACAGTCTTCCAAATCCGTCCTCTCCTCTCTGATTCAACAATGACTGCCCGGGTTTCATATCCTCAACACCTCTCCTTGGATTATTACAATAGTGCTCTAAATGATCTCCTTGTCACCCCAAATCAGTTCTGTACTCTGCTGCCAGAGGAAGCTTTAAAAGCAAATTTGATCATTATCTTTGCTTGCTTATGACTCCTCAAACTTCGGCTGTGACTTTAGGATCATCATGACTAGATGCCTGGGCTTCGTGGGCTCCTTGTCCTGATCGCTCCCAGTTTTCATCTTACCCTCTTTTACTACTACCTGTCAGGTATCTTCTTATAGCTAGAGTTGCAATTCCCCCATGCACCCAATTTGTCTATTTAATCACCCAGACCTTGGGTCTTTAAGCCATGTTGACCCCCGCCATGAAGCCCAGAGCTGGTGGTTTACAAAAGCCTCAGCAGTGGCTGAGTCATCTCTTCTTTTCCTGTGCTAGCTTTTTGATCCCGGTTTTCACTTTATACCTAACCTGGCTCTCAACTTTCTTAGCCTCATCCTCCTCTCCAGCATTTGGTTTCCCACTGTGATCAGAGTCATTCCCCGGAAGTGGCTGGCCTTGTCCTTGGGCTCTGCCTGTTTCAGATCAGCTCCCTTAGGAGTCCAGCCTGGGGTTGTCCTGACAGGCTCAGAGAGTATTGAACACGTCTGCTCAAAAAAACCTTCTCGTCCTAGCATGGCCATCAAGTAGCTGTGTAATCTTGGACAAATCACTTTCCCTCTATTTCTTAACCCTAACAGTAATAGTAATAATAAAAACAGCTACTACTAATTACTGAGTACTTATCAGATCAAGCTTCTAAGCACTTCATGGATTGTCTCATTAAAATCTTACAGCCACTTTATGACAAGCCACAGTTATCCTGATTATACAAATAAGAAACTGAGGATTACAATTGTTAAACAACTTGTCCACGGTCATACTGCTGGGAAGTGAGAGAAGCTGGGATTCAAACCTCAGCACTCAGGTTTCTACGTGTGACCACTTAACCACTACTCTGTTCTTGGTCCCAACACGCAGCTCACTCTGGAGCCATGCCATCACATCTTAAAGTAAGGAAATGAGTGCTTCAGGATCCTCCACATAGAACATCCTATGAAAACAAGTACGTTTTGAAGAGGAGTGAAGAGACAAAACGTTAAACACAAAGGACCAAAGCTCTCACAATGGAATTCCACAAATGATGAGTTATTGGTTTCTTTTTCTTAAATATCTGATTTTATTTTTCTGTCTGCAGATGTAATCCAAGTTTAAAAGCACAAAGTAGAAAATAGAAATCACCTGTATTTCTGATTAATATCGTACATATACAGGCATCATATATAAAAGTAGTAGCACTGTACATTCTGCTTTTTTTCTTAAGCTAAACACAGTAAGAATTGTTGTTCTGCAACAGAACTTCTCATGACTGCATGGTATTCCATTATGGGTGCTCCCTGATTAACCAATTACCTATATTTAGACAATTAAATTGTTCCTAAGGTTTTTCCTATTAGAAACAATGGCAAGAAAAGTATCCATGTCATTAAAACTTTACAAACAAACAGTAATACCTTGGTTTGCAAGCATAATTAGTTTTGGAAACAAACTACTCGTGTTGCAAAACATTGCTATTTACCACGTTAAAATGTATTAGAACTGTTTGCTTGTCTTGCAGGGCACTCGCAAGCCACGTTACTCGCAATCCAAGGTTTTACTGTATATGATTATGTCCTTACAATAAATTCCTAAAAGTTGAACTGCTTGGCTAAAGGGCATATACATTTTAAGGGCTTCTGATGTGTATCACCAGATTGTCTTGAAAGATTATATTAGCATCAGCTGGTGATGTGGGTCTAAATGTTCCCCCTTCCTTAGAAACAGGTACAATTTTTGCTTGCTTGCTTCCTTTTTAAACAAAATGTTTGCCACTTTGGTTAAAGAAAAATGATATTTCACTGTTTTAATTTGCATTTCTTTTATTTCAGATAAATATTGTTAAATTTGGCCATTTATATTTTAAAATTTCCTGCTCAAGATCAATTTTCAGGCACTATGAAACAAAGAGAATCTTAACAAGAACAATATAGACAGTGGCCTATGGTTCTATAGACATCTGCAGGTAGTATTAACATAATTAAGTGGTACCATCTCTATGGTTCCATGAAAATTATAAATTCTGAAACAATTTTCTCATACATGTGTAACATTTCAAAACTCCACTGGAGGGAAAAGAACCTTTACTTGGAAATTAAATTCTGATCTTCTGAAATAAAAACAGCAAAGCTGTTTTCCAAACCAGTAAGCACTAGGTAGATTAGGGTTACTTAGATTTTCAAAGAACAATAAGAAATGATGATTGACCTCAGCTGCCACCACCCAAGAGAAGAGTGGTGTGACCCTGTCCAGTAAGTCACTGCTGTGAGGGCCTGCTAGGGCATGGAGAAACCTTGTGGTGCAGAGCAAAGCGGCAAGAAAGATTTTAGCTCTACTCCTTACGAGCTGTGTGAACATTAGCCAGTTATTTAGCCTCTTTAAGCCACAGTTATCTCATTCATAGAACACAGTGATAATATTATCTGCCTGAAGGTCATTGCAAAGGTTAAAATTCAGTGAAACAACACTAGTAAAGTCCACAGCACAGCAAGCATGTTCACTAGGTAGGTAATTGAATTACTCTACATCTTTCCACTACCTCATCCTGCTCAGAATCTCCCATGGCCTGTTTGTGACTCATCATCTGCGTTCTGCATTTTCTTCTTAAACCCCTTGTTCCTCTTCCTTTTCCTTGGCTTGTCTTCTTCTACCTTCTCTGTTTCATTATCCCATCCCCAGGCCAAACTGACCTTGGTCTACACAGAATTTGCTCCCTGTCATTTGCCATGCTTATGCAGACATTTAAAAATTTCATGATTCTTAAAATCAACAACAGCAACATGGAAATATTTGAAAGACAAATTTACAACATCAAAATTAATCACTTTATAAAAACCAACAACCAATACAATTGCAGCTCAATAATTCTCACCTTTGAGTGGCAGTCAAATGTCTTTGATAACAAATTTTTTTTAAAAAGCTTCTCTGCCTTGGAGCTGTGGAATCAACAGAGAGTGGATGCTCCAAGAAGGGGAGAATGGCTTTGGGGCTTTAGCTAACATTTCATAGCATAGACCACTCTTTCTCCCTGTGTTTATATTTTTGGCTTCTGCATCAATATGTCCTTAATACATATTAGCATTCTTGGGCAGGAAGGACAAAAATTAGAGCACCATTGTCAACCTCAGCCTGCTGCTGAGGTAACAACTCAAATTTGTGTTTCAAAGAATAATAAGAATGATCACTCACCATCCGAGGTCCATCTTGACACTGTTGGGCTAACGTCCGGGAATGACCCTGCTTGTCTGTCTGTCTGTCCGTCTGTCTGTGTTAATCTGAGTTAAAGTCGAAGGAGGAGCAATACTTTCCACGCCTCTGAAAACCTTCCTCCTCAATGACTGTATACCCTGCAACTTTCTTTACTAAAGCCTGTTGTTCCTCTTTTTTCTTTTCTCATTTTGCTGATACTTGTGAAAGAAATTTAACCCGTTCCTTGCATTTGAATCCTTTGACCTAGGTCTAAATATATTTTTAAAAGTTAATTCAGTGGCTTAAGTTCCAGACATGGCATTAAGATGAGGTGGACTAAAAATACTCCCTCGAGAAATTCCCTCCAAAAATCTAGAAAATATGATCATTAAAAAGAAGGGGGAAAAAAATCTCTGTCTCTATAAGATAGAATAAAAGAACATTCTACAGATTTTGGTAAGACAATAAAAAGTGTGATTTATTATGGATGTAGATTGGGAGCAAGTAGCCTCCCCTGCTGATTTCCAAAACCAAAATGATGAAGGATTTCACTGAACTTTGGGTGCAAGTGGGATGTCCTTCTGTGAGAGCTGCACAACCAAGGAGAGCAAACAAAACCACTGCCTTTATTGTTTCATTATCCTATAGCCAAAGATTAAAGTGGTGAAAGAGAAGATGCATGAACTAGATGCTTGAAAACAGAAAAAAGCAGCATCCTAAAATTAAGAGACGTGCTTAAGAGAGAAACATAAAATTCATCAAGCAGAAACTATTACCAGAAGAAAAGAAATTTCTGCATATGCACTAAAAAGGATATTATTAAGGAACTCAAAAGCTACAGATTGTAAAAAAACAAAAAACAAAAAACAAGTTAAGAAAATGAATTTTCAACCAGATAAATATTGTAAACATTTTAAATTCCAAAGAAAAGAAAGCAAAAAAACAAAATTAAAAAGATGACTGCAGAGAAAGATAAGCCAGCTTGGCCTCTTACCCAACTCTAAATGTCAGAGAACCACAGAACTATATCTACAGAGTTTTGAGGTAGCATTTCCTAACTAGATAAGATGCTACTTAAGGTTAAAGTCAATAGAAATAGATTACCAAGCAAACAAACAAACAAAAAGAACAACAATAATATCACTACCAAGATAGCCTTCCAAGATACATTAAAGATGTGTTCTAGAATAATAAAAAATGGATTAAAATCGAAAGCCTTAGAGAAGCTATGACTGGAAAAAACCCCAAAAACAGTACTTAGATTGAAAACTAGTTACACATATAGAGATAAGACTAGACAATTGTTGTAAATTAAGATATCAGAATGTTAAGAAAGAATTACTATAAATAGATTACTTATATTATTTTTGATGAGGATTGAAAATAGCAGGTGGTAGAGAGAATTCTGGGAAGATGGTTGAGTAGGAAGCACTAGAAATCTGTCTCCCCACCTAGAAAACAACTGCACGGGCAGACTCTGTCATGCACTCTCATGTTTATTGCAGCATTATTCACAATAGCCAAGATATGGAAGCAACCATTGATGGATGAATGAATTAAAGAAAATGTCACACTGTCACACACACACACACACACACACACACACACACATTATTCAGTCATAAAAAAAGCAGAAAACACTGCTGTTTGAGGCAACATGGATGAACCTCAAGGAAATTATGCAAAGTCAAGTAAGCCAGACACAGAAAGACAACTACTGCATGATATCACTTGTACACATATAAGGAATCTAAAAAATTTTTCTGATAAATTTTTATTTTTTAATTACAGTTGATATATATTAGTTTCAGGTGTATAACAGCAATTAGACATTTATGTAAGTTACAAAGGGATCATACTGATAAATCTGGTAGCGAACTGACACCATACATAGTTATTACAATATTATTGACTATATTCCCTATGCTTTACACCCCCATGATTATTTTGTAACTATCAATTTGTATATTTTAAACCCTTCCCCTTTTTTACTCAAATCCTAACCCTCCTCCCATCTGGCAATCATCAAAATGTTCTCTGTATCTATGAGTTTGTTTCTGTTTTGTTTGTTCATTTATTTTGTTTTTTATATTCCACATATAAGTGAAATCCTATGGTATTTGTCTTTCGGTGTCTGACTTATTCCACTTAGCATAATACCTAGGTCTATACATATTGTAGCAGATGGCAAGACTTCATTCTTTTTTTATGACTGAGTAATATTCCATTGTATGTATGTACCACTTCTTTATCCATTCATCTATTGATGGACACTTAGGTTGTTTCCACATCTTGGCCATTGTAAATAATGCTGCAATGGACATATGGATGCATATGTCTTTTTGAGTTAGTATTTTGGGTTTCTTCAGATAAATACCCATAAGTGGAATTGCTGGATTCTTCTTTGTCTCTTCTTATTCACTTTGTTTTAAAGTCTATTTTGTCTAGTATAAATAGTGCTGTTGCCCCAGTGCTGGAGCTCAGAGCAAGTGAGTACATCAGCTAGTAAGTCCTTACTTGGACCCTTTAAGAGGAATGCCTGGGACTCCAGCAGCCCTTTGTCTCACTCGGCCACAATATCAGCTGGTTTTCACAGCCAGAAGTTGTGGGATCATGTCTTTCTTGCACTGGAACTCTGGGCTTGGGGAGTCTGGTGTGGGGCTGGAACCCCTCACTCCTCAGAGGGACCTCCATGACTGAAATATCCCTCCCAATTTTTAACTGCCACACGTGGGTGTGGGACCAGCCCATTCCCATCTCTGCCTCTTACCAGTCTTTATGTGACTTCCTCTGTATATCCTTAGTTATAGAGCTTCTGTTAGCTAGACTTCAGGAAATTCTCAGTGATGGCTGTTCTATAGTTCAGTTGTCATTTTGACATGGTCGTGGCAGGAGGCAAGTACAGAATTTACCTACTCCCTCATCTTGAGTGGAAGCCTGGAATCCAAAAAATTTGATCTTATAGAAACAGAAAGGATAACGGTGGTTTTCAGGGATGGGGGATTGGAGAAATGGAGAGATGTTGGTCAAAGGGTACAAACTTTCAGTTATAAGATTAATAAAAGTTCTGGGTATCTAAAGTACAGGATGGTGATTATAGTTAATAATACATATTGAATATCTGAGATATGCTAAGAGAGTAGATCTTAAGTGATCTCACCACACACACAAAAAAGGTAACTATGTGAGGTGATTGATATGTTAATTAATGTGATTATGACAATCGTTTCACAGTGTATACGTATATTAAATCATAGTGTTGTACACCTTTAAAAAGTCACATTTTAACAAGCTAAATATATACAATTTTTCTTTGTCAATTTTACTTCATATAATGTAAAACCTAAAACTATAAAAATCTTAGAAGAAACATATGGCAAAAGCTTTATGATATTGAATTTGGCAATGATTTCTTGGATATGACACCAAAATGTACAGGCAACAAAAGGAAAAACAGACAAAATGGACTTCACAAATATTTTTAAATGTTGTGCATAAAAAGACAATATCAACAGAGTAAAAAAAGCAACTCACAGAGTGGAAGATAATATTCACAAATCATGTATCTGATAAGGGATTAATATCTAGAATATTTAGAGAACTCTTCAAACAACACCAAAAAACAAACAACCTAATTCAAAAATGGCCAAAGGACTTGAACAGACATTTTTACAAAGAAGGTACACAAATGACCAGTAAGCACATGAAAAGATGCTCAATATCACTAAACATTAGGGAAATGTAAATAAAAGTAGTGAGATACCACCTCATACCCATTAGGAGAGCTACTATCAAAAAAGGATAAAAACAAAAAGAACCAAAAAATAACAAGTGTTTGTGAGGAAGTAGACTAATTAGCACCCTTGTGTATTGCTGGTGGGGATGTAAAATGGTATAGATGCTATAGAAAACAGTATGACATTAAAAAAAAATTAAACATATAATTATCACATGATCCAACAATTCTACTTCAGGATATATACTAAAAAGACTTGAAAGCAGAGTCTTGTAGAGATAGTTCTGCCTCCATGTTCATAGCAGCACTATTCACAGTAGCCAGAAGATGGAAGCAACCCAAGTAACCATTGATGGATGAATGGATAAACAAAATGTTACACACACACACACACACACACACACACACACACACACACACATGCAAACACACACAGAGGAATATTATTCAGGTTTTTAAAAAAAGGAAATTTTGCTACAACATGGATGAACCTTGAAGATGTTATGGTAAGTGAAATAAGCTAGTTTAAAAAGGACACGTATAATTCCTCCTATGTGAGGCTCCTAGTACAAATTCATAGATACAGAAAGTAGAATGGTGGCTTCCAGGGGCTGGTGGAAGGGGGTAATGAGGAGTTAGTGTTTAATGGGTATACCGTTTTCAGAAAGGAAAGACGAAAAAGCTCTGGAGATAGGTGATGGTTGCACAACAATGTGAATGTACCTAATAAAACAGAATTGTACACTTAAAAATGGTTAAGAAGGTAAATTTTATATATTTTGCTGCCATAACAAAAGGCCACAAACTGGGTGGTTTAAACAACAGAAATTTATTTTCTCACAGTTCTGGAGGCTGGACATCCGAGATCAAGGTGTTGCCAGGTTTGGTCTCCACCAAGGCCTCTCTTGGGCTTTCAAATGACCACCTTTGTGTATGCTTACCTCTGATGGCTCTTCCTCTGCTTATAAGGACAATAAGGACAATAGTCCTATTGGATTAGGGCTGGCTGTTGGCAGGTTTCCTCAGTTCCTCATCCTGTGTGCTTCTACTCACAGCATGTACCTAGCTTCCTCCAGAAGAAATTATCCAAGAGAGATTAAAGTACAGCACCTTTTGTGATCTAATCTCCAAAGTCACACACTGGCCATTCTATTTTTCATTAAAAGCAAGTTAACAAAGTCCATACCATACTCCATGGGAGGAGAATTAGATGCTATCTTTTTAAGGGAGAGTATAAAAAACTTGTGTAAAAATATTTTACAACCACTACAGGAGGAGATATATTTTTAGAACTAGAATTACAGGAAAATATAGACATGAATATATTTAAGGTCCTTCATATATTTTGCAAAACTAATATTCAAAAGGATTGTATCAAGTTATGCTTTCATGAACAAAATGA